ATGCTCATTAATGTTCTTTAAAGCAGTTTATCATTTTAACCTTCTGTGACAATGCAAATATACTTCTCAAGCTCAGTATTTTGATGACTTTGGATAATTTAGATTATTTCATAAGCAGATGTTACAAAGCAGAGCATGCATTTCCAAATTAAAGACATATCTCTGGTCTTCTTAAACTGAAACTTGTACTTTAGATAATGTTCTGAATTTTTAATTTCCATGCTTTTGCACATTTTACATCTAAAATATACCAGATTAGACAAGGATCAAGGTGTTCATACTATGTGAACTACAATCAAAAGAACTGTATATTAATTTATATTCTATATTTTCTTTTTTAAAAATTTGTTTCAGTCTCACACTATCACTAAATACTTAAGTTGCAGGCAGGGGATGGCAGTACATTAACACTTGCTAACATCCACTAGAGCTGCCTTTATGCTGGCACCCAAAAGAAACACCTCCAAACAACAATTTCAGGCCATAAAATCATAATTTCCAGTTCCTGTGAATTCTACAAGTTAAAAGTGAAATAAAAATGTAGAAGTGATAGTCACACAGCATGGCTTAAAAATGAATGCAGCTTATCTGAAAATAATTGTAACAGAAATAAATTTGCATTTATTTCCCAAATAAATCCGATAAATATGCAACTCATATCTCTTATAACTAACTTCTTGAAACAAACATTATTATTATATGTGTCTTAACATTAAAGCTGTAATTACAATAATCTATTCAATGTACAACTAATTTATGTAAAAACATAGCCTCCTATCTTCCTTTATTATTCAAAAGTAGTGAAACTAACACACCAACATTATAATAAATTAATTCCGATATGCTAAAGGTAATTGCAATCTCATGTCCAAAACAGAATATGTTCAAACATGCAAAGTATCAGACTGGCAGTATTGTGGCAATTCTAACCAAGACGTACCATCAAGCCATTTCTTTACATCACACTTTTACCAAATTAAAATGAAGATGCTCTAATGACAGTTTCTGCTTTCAGTGGGTTTTTTGTATTTGTTTATTTTTTCTTTAGTCTACCAAAATCAGTTGTAACTCTTGAGAAATCTCCACATATTGAACATGCTTCAGTTGTTCCTACCAAGAAGCTATCTTTCCATCTCACTTTATTTTATATGGTTATAAAGCTGTGAAGGCATCACCACGTCATAAATAAAAAAACTAGTGTCTATTACCAGGCATGCCAGAATTAAATATGACTCTCACTGTAAAGCCACATTAACTGCTCTCCAGTTTGAGAGCAAAATCACAAACACCACACAGAGATGGCATAACTATGCACAACTGCTAAAAGCACAAAAATTTATATGTGTCAATATGAACATACAATTCTTGTAGAACTGCTTAGCATATACAGAATTAAGCAGACTCACTAATATTTCAGCTTTCTACTGCACTTAACAGACACTTCATATAATCGTCACAAGAAGTCCAACTCCTCTCATTCTTACAATCAGCTTGGCTTGAAAACTGGCACTAATCCTGTCAACAGAAGTTTCAGCTTCTCCATACCGAAAGACTTAGCAAACACAGTTTTCTGCCAAAATAAGCATCTTCCATTACCTCTCTTAATATAGGACTTAACCTCATGTGCACCTTAAAAAACAACTAAACTAAAGACTTAGCAACAGAAGGAGAAAAAGCAATATTAGGTAGACTTAGCAAAGTTCATCAGATGACATCCAAAGAGCTGTTATGAGTAACAAAGATGTTTAATAGAAAAGCTGTTTTCACCAGTTATGGATGTAACACCATGTGTTAAACACAGCACAACTTTCAAAAGCCATCTTTCCTTGCCAGAAATGAGAATGTCAATACAGACCTAAAAACAAAAAACAAATGAACAAAAGGCAAAACCCAAACAAAAAAGCATATAAACAAAAAAAACCCTAAGACTTTCCACTACAGACTCACTTTTCCTAGCTGACCACCTTTCCTCTAGACAAATGAACAAAAGGCAAAACCCAAACAAAAAAGCATATAAACAAAAAAAAACCCCTAAGACTTTCCACTACTTTTCCTAGCTGACCACCTTTCCTCTACGTGAGTTACTCTTTTTCACCAAGGAAATGCAGGTACCCCAGTGCAGGCAAAATACGCTATGGACGCTGAAATGCCTTTAAGATCAGGATCAATTTTCTAAACGAGTTACTCTTTTTCACCAAGGAAATGCAGGTACCCCAGTGCAGGCAAAACAAGCTATGGATGCTGAAATGTCTTTTAAGATCAGGATCAATTTTCTAAACAAAGTAAAGAATCATCAGCATTTCTAGTTTAGAATCTTTTCACATCTGACAGCCATGAATGGAGACGGTGCATTCTGTTGACACATACTGGAGAAACCACAAAAGAAACAACACCAAAAGAGACCCAACCATCACTGAACATTTTTCTGCTGGAAGAAACGACATAGCAAACATTCTCCTAAATTTGCATGTAAAGTACAGCAATTTCACTGCCCCTCAACATTTGAAGATTAGATCATAATACAGGTTTTTATTAAAAGTTAATATATTAGGATCAAGAGTACAACTAAGAGGATGCTCAGCAAAGCAGTCCGAGTTTAGCTTGTTTAGTTTAGTTAGAATTTAGTTCATCGTTTTTCCCTCTGGTGACCAACATTTGACTGAAAAAGACAGACCTTCATGAGGAGTCTTTTCCTTTGGAGAAAAGCAAGCAAGGAAACAAACACTTCTCATGGCCAATCTAGAAATCTCCTGGATTTGTCTGTAAATTATGACACTATTTCAAAATTGTAAGATAAATCACATATCATACTATTTGAAAATGTTTTATGTATTTTTTAGACAATGACTAGCAACAAGCATTCACCTGCTACTGTGACTTAAGTATACTGTAAAACTTAACCTTTCAATTTGGGTGTCTGAAGAGCTCTTTTAAGCAAAATCATTTTGGCTATTGCAATTGCCACTAAACAAAGGACTTTTAAACACAGGAACTGTATGAGTGAATACCAAAACTTCAGCGAGCAAAATCATTTTGGCTATTGCAATTGCCATTAAACAAAGGACTTTTAAGGGCTTTTAAACACAGAAACTGTATGAGTGAATACCAAAACTTCAGAACAAACCCCCCAAAAGCCCCTTTCTGAAGAAAAAAAAGTCCAGTATTCCTTAATCCAGCATGAAGGTCTTTGTAGACTAGGCCTGTGATTAATACGTTATATGGTAAAGGTTATAATTTTCTCCACCGTGACTTTCCAAATCATGGAAAATACAAAAGCTTTTATCTCCCAACAGTAGCATACTAGGTCAATTTGTCTATAGGATTGCTAAGAGCTTAAGAAGATTAAGAGAGGTTTTGAGATCAGGCTTTAAGATAAGATTATCATCTACACCAGGAATTTCCATGCAATTTTAAAACAAAAAGTTGAAATAGAGTTTCATCAGACAAAACCTCAATTTCCAAATAACGTATACTGAAAAAATATTTTTCTCCTAATATATTTTATTTGGAAGGCCTGGGATACTAATCTGCCCCATGTACTGTGTGGTCTCAGGACACAGCAAAGGCTGCTTTTGAACTATATGATACAATGCAAAGGTAAAAATTCAAGTTCTCCCTCAACTTTCTTCATTGTAATGCTTTACTGTGGTGTCAATCATGAATTTCAAGAGGAGCTTGTCTATAAACCCTACTTCATTTCAGAGCAAGATTCCTATCAGTATAAACACTCAGCTAAGTGCCCAAGACATAAGCACCACTAAAAATACATTCTAAGAAAAGATTTAATTAGACACCTCATTTCTTCACCCTCCAGGCCCAAAGAACAATGTCTTGTTTTCTGACCTTCTCCCATACCACTTCCTAATTAGTAACTTCATATACACAAACAACTTAATTCTGGCTGCCATTCACAAAGAGCAGCTTAGGAAAACATCTAAGGCCCTGATCCCAAAACCACACAGACACGCGTTTAAATATAAGCATGTGGGAAACTCCAGCACAGCCTTGGAAGCAGCTCTTGTGTTTGACTATAAACAAGCACATCAACCCATATGTTAGGACCACAATCCTGAAAACATCGAAGCTTCAGGATGAACGAACCACATGTTCAAAACCAGCTCCTCAGAGGGACCCTGCTGTGGAGCGGTTTCTAAGAGGAAATCCAAAAATACGTCTGTGGAGCTGACGACGAGAGCGCCGAAGACACTCAACGGGGGTCTCCCAAGGCAAAAGTCTGACTTGCAGTCAGCATTTTGGAGCACCACGAAAGAACTTGGTAGGACCGGTCGCTGTGCTCCGTGAATTCCCGCAGCTACCGGCAGCCCGCCGCGAGGGGCGGGGCCTGGCGCCGGGCACGGGCACGGACACATCGCCCCCTCCCTCTCTGCCTCACACACACTCACACACACAAAAATCCTTCCAGGAGCGGGGCTCAGCCGGCAGCCGCTGCCTAAGGGAGACAGGGCTGCAGAGCTGCCGAGGCCCCGGCGCTGCCCAGGGCACATCAAAGTGCGATAAGACGCAGGCGAGAGGGCGAGAGGGGCACACGGTGCCCCGCACAGCGCAGCCCCCGGAGCTGCACCGGCGGGCAGGGGCGCGGGGCTGGGGAGCGCCGGCGGCAGCAGCGCGACAGCCGGAGGCGCCCGCCCGAGCGCCAGCACTGCGGGCTGCCCGCGCTTCGCCCCGCCGCATCCCGACCGACCGTCGGGGAAAGAGCCATCGCCACGCCGGGCACGGGATCAAAGGCGGCCCCGAGCACTCCGCTGCCGGCCGGGCGACACATGGCCTGCCGCCAGCCGCCGCGGCGATTGGCCTCGCCGTGCCCAGAACAGCGGGAGTTTGCCCTCCCTCCCGTCCCGTCCCGCCTGTGGCCCCCACCCGGGACGGACCCCGGGCGCTGCGGAGGGCAACTCCGCGGCCCTGAGGGCCGGCTGCGCTGCCAGCCGGCGGTGGGACGCCCGGACCCGCTCGCACTCCCCCGGGGCCCCTCTCCCGCTCACCTGGTGGCGGGGCTCTGGAGCCCGGGGCGCCGCGGGGTGCGCCGTGCCCGGCGGGGCTGCCCCGGCCCTGGCTCCGCGCTCCCGCCTCCGGCAAGCTCGGCCCGTGGAGGGGCGGCGGCGGGCAGAGGGCGGCGGGCGGCGGTAAGCGACCGGAACCGCCGCTCATGGCGAGTCCCGGGAAGCCGGAGCAGGAGCGGACACGGGCGCGGGTCTGGGGGAGTGCCGGGAGAAGGGAGGCAGCCGAGGGGGAGGTGGAGGCGGCGACGGCGGCCCCACCAGCGGGGGAGGAGGCAACGGAGGAGGCGGGGGGCGGCGGAGGGGAGGAGGAGAAGGCAGGCAGGAAGGGGGCGGCGGAAGAAGCCACCCATCTGCCGCGGCGGCCTGCCTCGCCGGCCTGCCGGAGGTGCCACTCGCCGCCGCTTTCCTCGCCGCGCGGAGCGACGCCGCGGTCCCGCTGGCGGCCAGGGGCATGGAAGCCGGGCACGCGTGGGTGGCATGGGCGGCGTGGGGAGCCTCCGGCCGGGGCGCAGCCCACCGCCGGGCGGGGGGGCCGGTGCCCAGCCGTGCCGGCCGCCCCAGCCGCGCAGCTGCTTACTGCTGCCGCCGAGGAGGAGGAGGAAGTCTCCCCGCCTGCTTCCTCCTTCCCTGCCTCCCTCCTTCCCTCCCTGCCTCCAGCCCCAGGGGCTGCGGCCCGCCGGCAGTCCGGCGCCTCCCTAAGGCCTCTCGCCGCCCTCAGCAGCGCTGCCGCAGGGCGTGACGAGCCGCGGGGCGCGCACAGGCGCGGCCGCCCCGCACTGCGGCGGTGCCCCCTCGGGACGGCGGCAGCGGGGTCTGTCCCCGGACCCCCGGCGGGCCGCAGCCCCTGCGCGCAGAGCCCGGAACCATCCTCGCCCTGTCCCGCGTTCCGTCTCCGCGGGCCAGGGCGCCGCCGCGGGCCTTCGCCCTCGCTGTCCGGCTCCGCGCCCCCCGACTCGGCACGGCGCTCCGGGGACGGGGGCGACGGCGCGGGGACAGGGGGCAGGGGGCAAAGGTTGCCATCGACGGGTGAGCCGGCCCCCAGAGGCACGTGTAGGGAGCGGGGACCGCCCCATCTAGGCGTCAGCGGGGGCGGTGAGTGCCGCTCACTCCCAGGGACAAGCCGCGCCTGCCGGTGTATATGCAAAAAACTCAAGGATGTCGGTGAAGGGATAGGTTAAGGACAGGGATTTCCTTAAGCTGTCACGGTGACGCCGGTTTCGTTGTCAGAGGAACAACATTCTAGCAAATCCTTTGGCATGAGAAGACACCAGGAACGCAGCCAAGACGCCGCTAAGAGTTTCTCTGAAAGTGAGGGAAATGCCTCTGTGCGTGCGTCCATGTGCCTCTGCCATGCGGAGAAACAGCTGCGCGTGCCGAGTGAGCCCAGCGGGTTTGGTTCTCAGAAAGAGCGGAATAGTGGGAAAAGTGACACATGCATTAACAAAGAAAATGCACAGGGAAATTTACTAGCCAGAGGGGTGCACTTGCTGTCCTCAGTGGAACAATAGTAATTCTCCGAGATCTAAATGTGCACACAGAATTCTTTTCATTTTGCACATCACAGCAGTGCTGCCTTCTCCTGTGCTATGCTGTGAGTGGGAAATATTTCCACAAATCCTGCATTTGCCAGCATTACCCCACTGTGCCAGTTTTTTCTGACACTCCATGTCGTTTGGTTGGCAAATCCAATGTGGGAGCAGGTGACCACGACTCCCCAGAGGATTAACAGCTCTGGGGTTTGTAGCAGGCTATTGATATGATTCTTGTGTCCCAACAATTTTTTAAGGTCATTCAAAACCTTTAATGATTTGTTTGCTTAAGCTTCATGGAGTGTTTCAGGTCTCCAGCCATGAAATCAGAAACAACTTCAACAGCTTCTATTTCCTGATTCTGTGAAACATGAGGGTCTGAAGTACTTCCCTTACACTTCACCTTTCCAAGGTGTCTATGCTTTTTTCAGATTGCTGCTTTCTGGCATGCACATGCAGCCTGCATGAAGCTCCTGGCAGTTCACAGCTGGCAGAAAGTGATGAACAGAGCCACTATTGCATTTGTGATGATTCATTTTTCACTCACTTCCTGGCAGAAGTTGCTTTAAAACTACTCCCATATTGAAGGTAATACCTAAAAGTGCATTGTGGCACAGACTTCCTTTTTTTGTGAGCCATCCAAAAATGGCAAACTTGAATACTCATTATACACTACAGGAAAAGGTGTGAAAATAACACCAGTCCTTCAGCTAAGACAAACTTATAATTTTGTATGCAGATTGTCTTCTAGAAATAAGAATAGGTGTTTCTGCAGTATGAAGTTACTTCAGCTGTTAGTCTAGCACACACTCCAGACTACAGGCTGTCTGGAAGTTCAAGAAGGCTGTTTCTGTGCAGTTTGCGGCAGGAGTCTTGCAGACATGACCTGACAGTTGTGGGACACTGCACTTCATTTGCTTCTGGAGCTTTGGTGTTCCATTTTCCTGTTAGTTCTAAACTTAAATAAAGCCTTTTCAGGATAACATCATTGCAAAAGCTAGATCAAGATTTTAATTTTTTTTTCCTGGAGTCATTTTACTCAAGTATGGTGAGAGATACGACCTTTAATCTAATACCCTATATAGGGTAAGTGCCACATTTGAAAAATAGGCAAGCTTTTAGCAGTGCACAAAAAGCCTTGAGATCTGCTTAAGGTCTTCAGGTACTTAAAGACAAGGTTTTGTCTAAGGTTTTAAACAACTGTTTACTCATTTTTCTAAAGAGAAACATACTGCTAGCTATCCAGAATTACACTCCTTGGTAGTTTATATCCAATAGATCCAGGGGAAAGTTATAAAAAACTTTTTTCTTCTTCTTCTTTGTTGTGATTTTTGTTATAAAGTTGACAAACTTGTAATGCTGCCTAAAAAAACAATAAAAAATTGAAGTCTAGGTTCCCTTACCTCTCCCAATGGTCTGGAAGAATCAGTTACATGTATGATTTTCAGGGTTCTTACTGTGATACAATGTTGAAAAGTGTAGGATTAGATATATTGTTTCACTAAAAATTGAAAAAGTTAAACATCCACTGTGCCCAGAGCATCTCTTAAAAGGTGATAGTCTCTGAAATGGTGTTTAAGACTTTGCATAAGCCAGACTTTGCAATGGATGATTTCTGCCATGAATCCTTCATTATCTCTGTTTTGTTTCTGTTGGTGCTGCTGAAGTCCCCGATGATTAGAAAAAGAAAATTGCTGCAAGTAAGGCTGGCAGGATTGATAAAACTGATTATGGACCTTGAAAACTGATGTGATAACTGACCTGTGGAATGCCCCAAAGACCTTGGGGTGTGTTCATCTGAAGAGGTGACACAATCTGTAGTGCAGGTGAAGTGCCCGTGCAGCAATGCCCACAGCATGGGTAAAACCATGCAGCTGGAAACCAGTGTGAGCTGGAACACTGTGGTCTAATCACTGCCACTGAGATGTGGAGGGACAAATTGCGTGGCTGGAGCACTGCATCATGTCCAGAAGGGACAGGCAAGGAGGGGAGAGCGGGCAGCAGTGGGGATCATGTTATCTGTGTGGAAAATGGATGAACTACAGCGAGCTACCATGGAAAACCAGCAATGAGCAGGTGAAATGGGTAACATTTATAGGTAAAAACTGGGGTCAAGCCAACAAGGGAAATCTCATGGTTTATGTTTATCACAGGCCACCAGATCTAGGGGAGGATGTTAATGAAGTGTTTTTACTTCAGCCTCAGGAAGAGTCACACTCTGGGCTCTGATGCAGTGGGGGGCTTCAACTGCTCTGACATCTACTGGAAAAGTACACAGCAACTTCTGTCTCCTGTAGGCAGGCCAGGAGACTCCTGGAGTGTATTGAGGTCTTAATCCAGGTGATAGCCAACTAGAGAAGAAACTTTACCACAGTATTAAGAATAATAAGGACTTCTGTGGGTATGTGGTCAGAAAAGGAGACCAAAGAAAATGTAAGCTCCCAATAAATAAGACAGGATTACTGGTCTAGTACAGAAAAGGCTGAGGCACCCAAAATTTTTTGGCCTGAGTTTTGAGTGGTAAACTGTTTTTCCACATTTCTTTAGCCCCTTGTACCTAATCTAAACTAACCTTTCTTTGGTTTAGAGTGACTCTTCTCCACTAAGTTTTGATTTGTATGGAAAAAATGCACAGTTCAAATGAGTATGAGAAATACAGTGTGGAAGGAACAGTGCAGTCAAAAGGATAGGTGGTTTCATCATGCATTTTATTTTATCAGTAACAGGATGTTTCTCATCCTTTCAGTAGCTGCTCTGGGTTAACCCTGACAGTCAGGCTCTATGTAGATGACAAGACTTTTGCCCTGTAAAGGTACATGTTTTCCACAAGAAACCCAGGTAAAACAGCTTCAGTCATTCTAAATTTCTTATACTCTAGTCTTCAGATATATTAAAATGCCATCAAAGAGGGATGTTGTGAAGCTCTTCTGTGTTACAGTGGAGAATGTGATATTGTTTGCAGTAGGTAATGCAGCTTTATCCCACACTTTAAAACACCATTCATGCATGCTTCTGTTTCTAAACAAGCAGTAGCAGAAATACAGACCAGTTTTTCAAATGACTATTAAACACGGTGGCTAATATTTAAACCCAATGTGAAGTTATATGATTGTCATAGCTGCCAAGTAATGGTAGAAGAGTGTAGCCAGACTGAAAGGAACATCAAACTGAAGAGAAGTAGACCTGCTATTACAGATTTAAAAGCTAACCTTTAGACAGTTAGATTCCTGAACTGTGTTCACTCATCTCCTGCTCAGATTTCTGCTAGTGTGTATTCAAGGGACAGTCATGAGTGGTCTCATGGGGAAAGAGAAAAAAGGTGCACCACACCCTCTGACTCACAGTTTGCTTTATGCAAATACATCCCTGGCTGTCAATCTGTTGCAAACAGCTGCTCCTTTATCCCGTAGCAATCTAGTTGACATTTCACATTACAAGTTACCTTCTAGTGCTATCCATCCTGTAGAGTGATTAAATAATTAGATCATTGAATTTATATTATTTTGAATTTATATTGATAGAAGAACTGATATATTAATATTATCATTATTGATTAAAGAACTAGAGGAGTGGGGAATGGGGAATTGTTACCAGGTCTCATTCTCCCTGTGTAGCTGCTGGTAAAAAGTCTCATGGCACATGGTGACTGCCAGTAGATTACAGAGCCTTGAACAGTCCCTGAACTACTCGCTGCAGCTGTTCCCAGGAAAAGTGATATAGTTAATATTCTTAATGAATAAGATGCTGAACAACACCAGCAGTATACTTTAAATATCTTGATGTGGTATTCAGGAAATCAGGAGATTTCCTGATTCAGGAATCAATACCTATCACTCAAAAACGCAGAGTCACTTTGCTGGACATTCAAGGGAAAGGAATAAGGGAAACTGAGAACAAAACTAGTCATTACTGAGGCTTGGAGACAATCCAAGATTTCTTTCTCCTCCACTAGGAACTGATAAATGAATAAGTGAAAGTAGTCATTCAACTTGCATACTACAGAAAGTAACTATTTAGAAAGGATACTAAATATTCCCTGGAACTTTATTAATACACTGATGAGGAAGTGTTATAACTGGAGACAATGTTGACAATATCTGAAAAGATAGGAAGCTTTGTGTATCAGACAATGCTAACCCTTGCATTGAGACGTCTGGTATTCTATATTGTAAACCCACAAAAGCTGGTAAATTCTGCAGTAACTTGGGCAGTGAGGTCCAAATATCTAAAAGCTCACATCAATGCTGGCAGAATTCTGGACTTCAACTTAGGACCAGTATGGAATACAACATACTCTCAAATTGAAGAACTGGAAACCTGAAAAAATAGATATGAAAAAGCTATTATGTAACAAAGACAAGTGACTATTGCAATCAACCATAATACCTTCTGGAATTTTTTTGAATCATAAGAGAAATTGAACAAACTGCTGGACATCATTGATGTGATATTTTTATGGGATTCACACCATCTGTATCTGACATATTACATCTTGTATCCTATGATCATTGTAATATTATGTTCTGTTTTATTAGCCTTTATATTCTTGTGCTGGTATATTTGCATATTGCTTTTCTCTCTGTGTCAAAAATATATCACATTTAACA